GTCAGAATGGCTGTTATTAAAAAGTTAAAAAAAAATAGATGTTGACATGGATGTGGTGAAAAGGGAACGTGTATACATTTTGGTAGGAATGTAAATTAGCATAACCTCTATGAAAAACAGTTTGGAGATTTCTGAAAGAACTAAAAGTACATCTACCATTAGATCCAGCAATCCCATTACTGGGATTAAATGAAAATATGAGAACAACTGGTTACCAAAGTGAGAATATCAATAGATTAAAATTACTAAAAGGAGCAAAATCGAAATTCTGGAATTGAAAAGTGTAGTAACTTGGTAAATGCGTAAATTCATTGAAATTTTCAGGAATTATCAGGTCTGAGGAATAGAAAGAAACGGAACAAAGAAAAATGAACAAATCCTCAGAGACTTGTGGGACCCCTCAAGCATACCATATCCACATATACTTAATGGAAATGTCAGAGGTGGGGGGAGGAATGACAAGAAAGGGGAGACAGGGAGAGAGGAGGAAAGAATATTTAAAGAGATAATCAAAACTTTCAAAATTTGAAGTTCAATGAACTTCAAGCAGGATAAACTCAAATAGATCCCTATCTAGAGCACAATCAAACTGTCAAAAGCTAAAAGCAAATAATAATCTATAAGGAATCCTCAGTGAGATTAACAGCTATTTCTAATCAGAAATGATGGAGGCTAGTTGGTAGTACAATCATATAATCAAAGTGGTGAAAGAAAAAGATTATACCTAGAATTATATATTTAGCAAAACTATTCTTTGAACTGAAGGAGAAATTAAGACATCCCTGGGGTGGGGGTGGGGGAGATAGCTCATCACTAGCATGCCTTCCCAAATGCTAAATGCAACAAATGCTAAAATGGGTCACCTAGAATAAAATGAAAAAAATTAAACAGTAACTCAACTCCACATGAAAAAATAAACACCAGGAAATGTATCTACATAGGTAAATATAAAGGACAGTATATAGGCATTTTTCATTTGTAATTCCTTTTCTTTATCTTAATCAAAATACAACTGTATAAAACAAAAATTATAAATCTAGGTTGATGAGCATGTAATATATAAAGATTTTATTTATGACAGTAATAAATAATAGTAACAATAGGCATGGGGAGAAGAGACCTATACAGGAGCAAAATTTTTGTACACTATTGAAACTTAATTTGTATTAACTCTAACTAGATTGATATAAATTAAGACGCTAGATGTCCACACAGACTTACATGAGAATGTTCATAGCACCTTATTTATCATAACCAAAAAGCTAAATTCAAATCATATGTCCTTTAGCTGATGAGTAAATAACATGCAATATACCCATACAATGGAATATTATTTAGCCATAAAAACAAATGAAGTACTGTTACATGCTACAACATGAATGAGCCTTGAAAACATTATGTCAAATTAAAGAAGAGAAACATAAAAGGCCTTATATTATATGATTCCAAATACATCAGATATTCAGAATAGGCAAATCGATAGCAAGTAGGCTAGTGGTTGTCAGGGGAACAGAAAGCAGAGAACTGGAACTAACTACTCAGAGGTACATAGTCTTTTTGGGGTATGTATGATGAACATGTTTTCAAATTTGTAGTAATGGTTGCACATTGGTAAAAACCAATGAAGTGTGAACTTTCAAATGATTAATTTTATGTTCTGTGAAGTATAATTAGAAAAAAAAGTTGCAAAAAGCTATAACTTACATATTTAATAGTGAAATGATATAAGCTTAATAAATAATTTCAATAATGAAATAATTTTCATGACGAAAGCTTGCTTCAAGATTAGGAATGAAATAAGGATACTTGTTATCACCATTTATGTTCTATATTATATTGGAGATTCTATGAAGAACAAACAAGAAAAAATAAATAAACACAGAAATCATTAGACTTAAAAAGTAAATTTAGCAAGATTGCTGGATATAAGATTATTATACAAAAGTCAAGTGAAGTTTGACACAATCATTATAGATCTAAACTGGAAATACCACACCTATCCAACCACAGTAAATTATGCTATATTTATAAATAAACTATTATACAGCAATGAAAATAAAGAAATTATTTCTATATGCAATCATGGATAAATCTCCAAAATATAAAATTTAGTAGAGAATATCAGACACAAAGGAGCACATAAGAAATAATTCTACTTATAAACTCCACAAAAGCAGGCAAGTTACCTTTACCTTTGATGTTAGAAGTCAGAACAGTCATTCTCTTCATGGAGGAAAGGGAAGGTAGTATAGCCAGGAGAAAGCACAGGGAAGGATTCTGGCCATTGGCAATGTTCTAGTTCTTAATCTTTTTTTTTTTGAGACAGAGCCTCAAGCTGTCTCCCTGGGTAGAGTGCCGTGGCATAGCTCACAGCAACCTCCAACTCCTGGGTTCAAGCAAGTCTCCTGCCTCCACCTCCTAAGTAGCTGGGACCACAGGCGCCCGCCACAACACCCGGCTATTTTTTTTCGGTTGTAGCCATCATTGTTGTTTGGTGGGCCCGGGCTGGATTTGAACCCACCACCTTAGGTGTATGTGGCTGGCGCCTTAGCCGCTTGAGCCACAGGCACCGAGCCCTAGTTCTTAATCTTAGCAATACAGTTCACTTGGTGACAGTTAACTGAGCACCTATATATGCCTCTCTCAAGATACTGCAGTTTTGGTTCTAGTCCACCATGATAAAATGAATATTACAATAAAGTGAGTCACACAAGTTGTTTGGTCATTAGTGCATATAAAAGTTGTGACTACATTATAATAGGCTATTAAGGGTGTAACAGCATTAAGTATAAAAATAATGTACATGCCTTGATTTCAAAATACTTGATTGCTTAAAAAAGTGAAAAAATCAACTGAGCAAATCTTTTTGCTGGTAGAGGGTCTTGCTTTGATGCTCCTGGCTACTAAATGATCAAGATGGTGGTTACTGAGGTTAGGGTGGCTATGGCAATTTCTTAACGTAACACAATAAAGTCCATGGCATTAATTGACTCTTCCTTTCATGAAAGACTTTACCACAACATGTGATGCTATTTGACAGCATTCTAGCCACAGAACTTCTTTCAAAATTGTTGTCAATTCTCAAACTCTGCCATTGTTTTATTATATTTTTCTTTTTTTTTATTATATTTTTCAAATCCTGGTTGTCAATTCAACATTATTCACAGCATCACTAAGAGATAATTCCATTTCAAGAAATCATTTTGAGGCCAGGCATGGTGGCTCATGCCTGTAATCTTAGCACTCTGGGAAGTCAAGGCAGGTAGACTGCTTGAGCTCAAGAGTTCGAGATCAGCGAGACCCCATCTCTAAAAACAGCCAAGTTTTGTGGCAGGTCCCTTTAGGCCGCGCTACTTGGAAGACAGAAGCAAGAGGATCGTTTGAGCCCAAGAGTTTGAGGTTGTTGTAAGCTATGATACCACAGCACTCTACTGAGGGCAACAAATGAGACTCTGACTTGAAAAAAAAATCATTTTGTTTACTCATCTGTAATAAGGAAATCCTCATTCCCTCATCCATTCAAGTTTGATCACAAGATTGCAGCAATTCAGTCACATCTTCAAGCTCCACTTCTAATTTTAGTTCTCTTGCTATCGCTACTACACCTACAGCTACTTCTTGCACTGAAATCTTGAAGCCCTCAAAGTCATCCATGAGGGTTGGAATCACCTGCTTCCAAATTTTGGTTAATGTTGATTATTTTGACCTCCTCCCCTTCATGAATCATGAGTGACCTTAACAGCATTTAGAACGGTGAATCCTTTCCAGAAGGTTATGAATTTACTTTGTTAAGATCCATCAGAGGAATTACAGATCATGAAAGTTTCTTAAATAATAACACTTGGAAGTTGAACTGACTCATTGATCCCTGGGATAGAGAAGGGATATTGTGTTAACAAGCATGAAAACAACATGTGCCCTGTACATCTCCATCAGGGCTCTTGGATGACCAGGTAGATTGTGAACAGTGACAGTGTTAAAGGAATCTTTTTATTCTGAACAGTAGGTCTCAACACTATGTTTAAATACTCTGTAAACTATGTTATAAACAGATGTGCTGGTATCCAGGCTTTGTTGTTTCATTTATTGAGCAAAGGCAGAGACTATGTAGCATAACTCTTTAGGGTCCTAGGATTTTTGGAATGCTAAATGAGCACTGGCTTCAACTTTAAGTCGCCAGCTGCATTATCCCCTAATAAGAGAGTCAGCATGTCCGTTGAGACTTTGAAGCCAGGCCTTGACTGTACCTCTCTAGCTATGAAAGTCATAGATGATATCCTGTCCCAAGAGAAGGCTGTTTCACCTACAATGAAAATCTGTTGTTTAGCGTAGCCACCTTCACTAATTATCTTAGCTAGACCTTGATAACTTGCGGCAGCTTCTCCATCAACACTTGCTGTTTCACCTTGTACTTTCATGTCACAGAAATGGTTTCTTTCCTTAAATCTCATGAACCCACCTCTGCTAGCTTCCAACTTTTCTTCTGCCACTTCCTTACCTCTCTCAGCCTTTATAGAATTAAAGAAAGTTAAGTGTTGCATTGGATTAAGCTTTGGCATAAGGGAATGTTCTGCCTGGTTTGAGAATTGTATCCACCATTCAGACTTCTCTGTATCAGCAATAAGTCTGTTTTGCTTCCTCGTCATTCATGTATTCACTGGAGGAGTGCTTTCAACTTCCTTCAAGATTATTTCCTTTGCATTTATAACTAAGCTGTTTGGCAAAAGAGGCCTCACTTTTCAGCCTATCTCAGCTTTCCTCACTCAGCTTAATCATTAAGTTTGAAATTATCAGATAATTAACAAAATATTACATAGAGACACAAAGTGATCACACGCTGTTGGAAAATGTCACCCAAAGACTTACTCAACCAAGTGTTGCCACAAAATTTTAATTTATGAAACACATAATATTTGTGAAGCACAATGAAGCAAGATCTGCCTGTCCTTTATATATATTTCTCTGTTTTACTTAAAACAACTTATAAAAAGTTTACTTACCTGTTTTTTCTGTGTTCTGTTCCTGTTTTCCAGCCAATCATCCACTTGTTCCTCAATTTCTTCAATGGAAGTTCCATGATCATAAGAGTGAACATACGTACTTTCTAAAGGTGTGTATACAGGAAATTCAGGTTTTGGTTTTTTAACTTTCTTCTGTTCTAAAAAAACAAAGTTTTACAGAACAATTATTGAGATCTATTAAGAATAAAAAGAATTTCTAGGCTCGGTACCTGTGGCTCAAATGGCTAAGGTGCCAGCCACATACATCTGAGCTGGTGGGTTTGAATCCAGCCTGGGCTCACCAAACAACAACGACGGCTGCAACCAAAAAATAGCCAGGCATTGTGGTGGGCACCTGTAGTCCCAGCTACTGGGGAGGTGGAGGCAGGGGACTCACTTGAGCCCAGGAGTTGGGGGTTGCTGTGAGCTGTGACGCCATGGCACTCTACCCAGGGCGACAGCTTGAGGCTCTGTCTCAAAAAAAAAGAATTTCTAACATTTTATTTGTAGGCCATAATTTGAAATAACTCTTTCGTTTTCTTTATGTACAAGGTACTTTACATGTTATCAACTTTTAATTTTATTAACAAATTTGTCAGGTGAGTACTACATGTTACTAATTCAGTTGTTATTTCAATCACCAAATATTTGAATGTCAATGCAAGTCAAACATTCTTTTAGCTCCTGAGGCTCAGCTATAAAACAATAAAACAAAGTCTCTATTCTCATCAAGAATAAGGAAGCATAAAGCAGTCATAGGAAATAGAGTATATATGGAGTAAGGATGGGGGGAACTTCTCATTTCTATGTATGCATATTTATATCGGACGGTCTATATAGAGAAGGTCTTTCTGACACACACACACAAAAGATAACGTTTGGGCAGAGAACAGATGGAAGTGAGGAAGCGCAATTCTGTGGTTCTCTGGGGGATGTGGGAAAGAGCAGCACAGGCATATGGTGCAAAAAGCATCAAGGCCCTGAGACAGGAGTCTGCTTAGTGAGTTCACAGACCCTCGGGGAGACTAGTAAGGCTGCAGAGGAAAGGTGAGTTGGAGAGAAGCAGAGGATAGTAGGAGTAGAGGTCAGCAGTTGTTGTAGAAAAGATTTTTCGATTTGATGGCAAGATGGATGCAGTTGGACAGTTGTGAGCAGAGAAGTAACTGAGGGTCATTGAGGTATACCTTGCTTTTGGAATTTAAAGGCAGTATCCAAACTTTTCGCAGTAAAAATTCTTGTATTGTAAAGTTTTAAGTTTTTTTTTTTTTTTGAGACAGAGGCTCAAGCTGTCCCCCTGGGTAGAGTGCCGTGGCATCACAGCTCACAGCAACCTCCAACTCCTGGGCTCAAGCAAGTCTCCTGCCTCAGCCTCCCAAGTAGCTGGGACCACAGGCGCCTGCCACAACGCCCGGCTATTTTTTGGTTGCAGCCGTCGTTGTTTGGCGGGCCCAGGCTGGATTCGAACCTGCCACCTTAGGTGTATGTGGCTGGTGCCTTAGCCACTTGAGCCACAGGCACCGAGCCAAAGTTTTACGTTTTATTAGCAGACATTGGATATGAATGCTGTTCTCTCATGAAAATAGAATTGCTCTGTTTTAAATAACTAGCTGCAAGTTTTATTGTACATTAACCATTACATTGTTTTAAAATAAAATTGCTATTGAGATGATGATCATAAATAACCATCATCAGTTTGTAAATACCTTTGTTTTCAGAGTACTTTTCATCAAACATTTCATTTTGGCACAATGGAAAGGGCTTTGATTTAATTTTTTAATCCTACTTAGTTATATATATAATATTGGGCAAGTAAAACTTAGAACAGTGTCTGTTGGCAGTGCCCATAGCTCAGTGGGTAGGGCACTGGCCACATACACCGAGGCTGGCAGGCCCGGGCCTGCTAAAACAACAATGACAACTGCAACAACAACAACAACAAATAGCTGGGTGTTGTTGAGGGTGCCTGTGGTCCCAGCTACTTGTGAGGCTCAGCCAAGAGAATCACTTACGCCCAAGAGTTTGAGGTTGTTGTGAGCTGTGACGCTATGGCACTCTATCGAGGGGGACAGAGTGAAACTCTGTCTCAAAAAATAAAAATAATGAATCTTTCTAAATGTAGAATATAAATGTCTTAATACAGTAACTAAGAAAATGCCATGAAGGCTATGTTAACCAGTTTGGTGAAAACATTTCAAATTGTATATAAAACCAGCACACTGTACCCCATGACTGCATTAATACACACAGCTATGATTTAATAAAAAATAAAAATAAAAAAAAGAACAGTGTCTGTTTTCTCATCTGTAAAAAAAAAAAAATATTGGCTCTCAATAAATGGTATTATCTTCACTACCCTGTGTATATGTATGTGTGTTTGTACTATCATGCCAATGTAATAAAATCAATATGATATTGGCATAATGGTCAAATTCATACAAGAGACAGAGAATTTATAAATACAGATGCTCGTCAACTTATGATGAGGTTCCATTCTGATAAACTCATCATAAGTTGAAATACTACTGTTAAACTGAAAATGCATTTAATATACCTAACGTACTTAATATCATAGCTTAGCATAGACTAACTTAAACATGCTCAGAACACTTACAATAGCCTACAATTGGGCAAAATCATCTGGCAACACAGTTCACTTTGAGAGTATTAGCTGCTTATCCTTGAGATCATGAGCTTACTGAGAGCTGTGGAACACTGATGCTGCTCGGCATAGTAACAGGGTATTTTATGCCTATCTAAATGCATCAGTTAATTTATTCACAAAATATTTATTGAGCTCCTCCCATACACATGGCCTTGTCCTAGGCTCTGGGGGTATAGCTATAAACAAGATACACAAAAACCTGGCTTCGGCTCGGCGCCTATAGCTCAACCGGCTAAGGCGCCAGCCACGTACACCTAAGGTGGCGGGTTCGAATCCCCAGCCCGGACCCGCCAAACAACAATGACGGCTGCAACCAAAAAATGGCCGGGCGTTGTGGCGGGCGCCTGTGGTCCCAGCTACTTGGGAGGCGGAGGCAGGAGACTCGCTTGAGCCCAGGAGTTGGAGGTTGCCGTGAGCTGTAATGCCACGGCACTCTGCCCAGGGGGACAGCTTGAGGCTCTGTCTCAAAAAAAAAAAAAAAAAAAAAAAAAAAAAAAAACCTGGCTTCATGGAGCTTATAAGCAAATATATTCATTTATTATTATTATTATATTTTTTTGAGACAGAGTCTCATTATGTCTCCCTGGGTAGAGTGCCGTGGCCTCACAGCTCACAGCAGCCTCCAACTCTTGGGCTTAAGAGATTCTCTTGCCTCAGCCTCCCAAGTAGCTGGGACTACAGGTGCCAGCTACAACGCTGGCTATTTTTTGATTGCTGTTGTCATTGTTGTTTTAGCAGGCCTGGGCTGGGCTCCAACCTGCCAGCCTTACTGTGTGTGGCTGGCATCCTACTCACTGAGCTATGGGCATGGGGCCAAATATATTAATTTATATAAAGTATAATATCAAATAGGTACTCATCTCTAAATTAATCAGTAAAATTTTACTTGAAATTTGACTAATCTATAGTCATAAATATTTATCTATTCAATTGGATAAAAAAATTTTTTTTTTTTTGCAGTTTTTGGCCGGGGCTGGGTTTGAACCCGCCACCTCCAGCATATGGGGCCAGCGCCCTACTCCTTTGGGCCACAGGTGCCGCCCTGGATAAAAATTTTTAAAAATCATTTCAGTGGGAAAACAATATATTACATTTACATATGTATAGCATAGATTTGAATTTTTTTTTTAAAGACAGTCTCACTTTGTCACTCTCAGTAGAGAGCTATGACATCACAGCTCACAGCAACCTCCAACTCTTGGACTTAAGTGATTCTCTTGCCTCAGCCTCCCGAATAGCTGGGATTACAGGCGCCCACCACAATGCCTGGCTATTTTTTTTTTTTTTTGGTTGTAGACACTGTTGTTTGGCAGGCCTGGACTGGATTTAAACCTGCCAGCTCTGGTGTGTATGGCTGGTGCCTTAGCCATTTGAGCCACAGGCGCCAAGCCTCCTATTAGGTTTTGTAATACAGTTCATAAGTTAAGGTACAGGGTTTCTAGTAGGTCATGTTTCCAAATACACTAGTGGTAGTGACTGGTTATTTGTACATACAGCTTTTTATGAGTTATCTCAAGCAGTGCTCGCCCATCCATGAGCACCCTATATTACCAAAGGCAAATATTTTAACCTAATTGGAGCTACTCTTTCATAATCTCCTTTTCCCCACTAATCCCTGAAATCAACTTACAAATGAACATCTTCTTTGTTTGTGATCCTGAGGTTTCTAGAAACTTCCTTACCTTAAAGAAGGTGAATATTTTCTTACCCTGCCACACTGAAATGGCACATTCTGCCCTCCCTACTCCCACTTTCCCTACCAGGTGTCCCCCTGGCACTCCTATTTAGGTCCATCACTGGGGCATGCAACAGGGACCACAACACAAGAAAAACATAACTAATCTCAGGAAATGGTATTTCTTCAGATTAAGAAGGAAGTACTTTGCAGCACAGTTTTGATTTTGTTTTTGTTTTAAAATCATATAAGGTACAGACAAAGGGGTAAAATACTAAGTTTTACTTGTATTCTTTTTTCTATTTAGATTGTAATCTTTACCAATGATTTCTTTATAAAGTATGTCAGACTTTTTTTTTTTCATTCATGATATGGGCTATCTTAGTATATAGAACTTGTATTTATTGAGAGTAAAATTTATAAAATTAGAGACTGTGTAACTGTAAAAATACTGTGTAGTAAAAATATCTGTGTATTTACTGTGTAGTAAAAATATCACTATCCTCGGAAAGTCTATTATTTATAAATATTCAAGTTATTTAACACTAACCCATAATATTGATAATAAACAAGTGCCCCAAATTTCTCAAATAGCTCTCAACAAGTTTTTTGCCTAAAGACTTCCCAGAAACATATTTACTCCTTAGGATTTACCCTTTTCACCTTTTTCTCTACACTCTATACCCTATTAATCAGACCACCACACCCTCCTCCAAGTAGTGGTAGGGCAACCCTCCGAGACAACTGCACAATCTAAGCAGTAAAACAGACATGAGGGCAGATTCGCAATTAGGTCATGAAAAACAGGCAGCATAAAATAGCTATCGCTAATCTACAACGTGATGCATTTACTCAATTAAGTAGATGGAAATGTTATTATGAACTCAATATTACAATGATAGTGTTTAAAATTAAGAAGGATAGGTGCAAATGAAATGCACACTGGGGGATTTGGGGCCTTTATGTATCAATTCTAAAGTATACAATGCAGAATACCATAATGAAGTTAACAAATTTAATTAAAAGATTCTTTACATGTAACCATTAGAGATTACATTAAAAAATACATGACAGTTTCTGACACTGTTAATAGAGAATGTGACTGTTCTTTAACATTCTCAATGTTGATACAATCATCTTTTCTAAATATACCACTGACGTAAAAAAATGAGAAATAATATAGTCTATTACACAGGGCCTATTGCACTGATTTTAATATAATTTTTGGTATTTACTTATTCCATTCTTAGTTTCGATAACTGATAAATTACTGATGAATTTTCAAACATTTTAGAAGACTACATACCTTTATTTTCAGATATTTACATATTTTAAAATTTGTGATTTTTACATTATCTTTTTATTAGACAGTAACAAAATAAGAAGAGATCATTAAATCTGAGAATTGTTATCAAACTCTTAGTCAGAACAAAAATCTTTCAACTATTTTGGAAAAACAATATTAAACTGCAAAAGAAACTTTTGCTTGTAATACTTCAAGTTTAACCCCTATTTTCAAAGGGGTAGTAATATATATTGAATCATTACTAGTAGAAAATTCTAATACATATACCACAATTGCAACAATTATATGATTCAACACTGAAACTACATAAAAATGATAAGCTGTGTCTATTAGAGCAACCACAGACATGCGGTATATTCATGTTGCCTCTAAAGGTAAGTTTGGGTTGGATATTTTTTCTTTTGTTATAAATATAATGTTTTCTTCTTGTACTAGTCAGAAGAGGTTTAGAAAATGTTTATAGGTTCAGCGCCTGTGGCTCAAGTGGCTAAGGCGCCAGCCACATACACCTAAGGTGGCAGTTCGAATCCAGCCCAGACCCGCCAAACAACAATGATGGCTGCAACCAAAAAAAAGTAGCCGGGTGTTGTGGTGGGCGCCTGTGGTCCCAGCTACATGGGAGGCAGAGGCAGGAGACTCACTTGAGCCCAGGAGTTGGAGGTAGCTGTGAGCTGTGATGCCACAGCACTCTACCTAGGGGGATAGCTTGAGGCTCTGTCTCAAAAAAACAAAGAAAATGTTTATGTATTAATTTTAGAAGCCGAGGTGGGTGGATTGCCTGAGCTCAGAGGTTTGAGACCAACCTGAATCAAAGCAAGACCCTGTTTCTAAAAATAGCCTGGTGTTGTGGTGGGTGCCTATAGTCCCAGTTACTTGGGAGGTTGAAGCAAGAGAATGGTTTGAGCCCAAGAGTTTGAGGTTGCTGTGAGCTATGACGCCACAGCACCCTACTAAGGGTGACAAAGCGAGACTCTGTCTCAAAAAAAAAACAAGAAAAGAAAAGAAAATCTTTATGTACCAACTTTACTAAAAATAACAATTATATAAAAATTATATTTAGAGTTTCATTTGCCTACCCCACTTCCTAACATACACATTGGTCAACCTTAACATACAATCCTCTGTCACCTTAACTCTTCCTTCTTAACAGAAGTCTGCTTTAAACAATTATATAGTTGACCTAAATATTATTTAATATATATAATTGTTGAAATTTTTTAAATTAAATTATGCACTCCTTGAGAGAGTGTTCTATATGGATCCTTAGAGGATACTTATTAATAACCATAAAATTATTATACATTAATTCATATATACATTCATGCTTCCATTTACTAAACCTTTAATATGTGCCAGGACACTGTTCTATGCTATAGACAAAAAGATGACAAAGAAACAGTTTCTGTTCTAAGACCCCCCCAGACCCCTGAAGGATTGTAGTGGACAGAAAAATAGTCCACCAGAAAAATAGTCTAAAAACAACCATGCCCAACCCCCAGAACCTGGGGGGGTGAATAGTGAACAAAAGAGACAAAATCCCTACCCTCATGGAACTTACATTCCCCTTGGGGAAACCAGATGGTAAACAAAATTAATAAACATGTTAATGTTAAAGTAGTATTAAATGCTCCAAATAAAAATATAAAAATGTAAAGAGACAGAGTGTAGGCTTGGTGCCTGTAGCGCAGTGGTTACAGTGCCAGCCACATACACCGAGGCTGGTGGATTCGAACCCGGCCCGTGCCAGCTAAAGAACAATGACAACTGCAACAAAAAACAGCCAGGTGTTATGGCAGGCGCCTGTAGTCCCAACTACTTGGGAGGCTGAGGCAAGAGAATCTCTCAAGCCCAAGAGTTTGAGGTTGCTGTGAGCTGTGACATCACAGCACTCTACTGAGTACAACATAATGAGACTCTGTCTCAAGAAAAAAAAAAGAGAGAGAGAGAGAGAGACAGAGAGTATATGTGTGAAAAAGATATAGATAAGGCAAAATTGAACAAAAGAACCAGGGCTGAGAAATTGCCTCCTTTAATAGTATGTTCAACTTTTCTGAAAATCAGCAAGAACTCTCTTTTGTGTTCAATAGAACATTTCTTTTCAACATATCAGTAATTTTTCAAGCTTGTTCCTATAACAATACTGCAAACAAGACAAAAATGTTCTTTGGGATTTTCAGGTTTCCCAATTACTACTGCTATAATACACAGAAAGTTGGGTGATTAGTTGGTGAGACTCAATACTGAATATCAGTCATTATTACAGTACTGGATTATATTAGGACTTTGCAGATTTTGGATGCCCCTGGTCTTAAGAAGTTCCATGGCCCCATGCTGAATTCATCCCTCCTCCTAATACTGGACTTTGAGTAGTTCAGTAATACTAATGCAGTACCTTCCAGGTGTAATTCATTAAGTGCTAGTGACTCTATCAAGGAGTAGCAAAGAAAGCATAGAAAATTGAATTACTGATAAAATATAAGGGAAAAGTCCAAATTTAAATAACTAGTTTCATACATTATTGCTAACACAGTAAAATGATGTTTACAACTCACTTTGAAGTGTTTCGAGTTCAGTTTTAGTCAGTGCATCTTCCTTTTCCTTTAATCTTGTTTCTTTATATTTAGCATAAAACTGTCCAGCATCCTTAAAAAAAGAAATTACAAATAAATTAACATAAAAATCAGTTTGCTTTGACAGTATTTCCATATAATTCATTTTAAAGCAATATATTCATATATATATGTATATATAAAGCAATATATTCATTTCACAAGTAGTCTTTTTGTTTTTAACTGTATGACAAACAAAAGAAATTAACAAATACTTCTCTATGATTTTTCTCTCATGGAGAACAGGTTAAAGGCCAGAAATTTATACACTTGCATTCTCAGAAAATGCAAGTGTCATCTTCCCGTTTTGTTTTTTTTTCATTGTACACTATTTTCTCAATGGGATATTACTGCATGGACAGAAACCAAAAAAACTCACTTGTTAAACTGAATTACTGGCATAGTAAATTATATTACTGGGACTAATAAAGTACTAGCACTATTTTCATAATGGCCTTTTAACTCCAATAGATCTAAAAAATTATTACATGTAAATCTGATTACAAAACTTCTATGACCACAAATGCAAGTTGTTACTCCTCTTTCCCTCACCCTTAGAGACCAGTATTAAAACCATCATGAGGACTGAGAACACATACTATACACTCACACTTAGCACTTAGCTGTCAAGATATGGTGGCAAAAGTCTCAATGAGTGGCACATAGGTAAGACTTTATCAGGATACAAAAAAAAAAAAAAACAACAACAACAAAAACTGAGTCCTAGATAATCAAAGACATAAAAATAAACAAGTTGATACTCTAGGCATATGATGATCCTGACAACTAAAAAAAGCAAAGCTTATCTTTTCCCACAATCCTTGACCTCCTTGGCTCAAACTTTATATATACTATAGCAAAATCACCTGTAGCTGTTGGGCCACACTGTGTTTGCATGTCTTTGCATCTGCTTTGCCCTCTGGCCAGAATATTTCACTCCCCTACCCGTTATAAAGGAGCTCCTATTCATCCTTGAAAACCTTTTCTTTCTTTCTTTCTTTCTTTTTCTTTTTTGAGATAGTCTCAAGCTGTTGCTCGGAGTAGAGTGTTGTGGCGTCATAGCTCACAGCAACTTCAAACTCTTGGGCTCAAGAGATCATCCTGCCTCAGTTTTTTCATTTATGGTAGAGATGGGGTCTCACTATTGTTCAGGCTGGTCTCAAACTCATGCACTCAAGCTATCCACCCGCCTCAGCCTCCCAGAGTGCTAGGATTATAGGCGTAAGCCACTGTGCCTAGCCTGAAAACCCTTTTCAAGCACAATCTTCCTTTGCAATTCCTTCTGACCTTCTCTAGCAGGTAATTCTCTCTGGTATACTACTTCTGATTGCTTGTATCATATGTTCTCTCCTAGAAGATGAGAAATTTGAGACAGTGATCCTTGTATGCCCAGAACATAGTATCTGGCATAAAGGAGGCACTCAACTAATTTGAAATATGTGAGAATCCTTATACAGTAAGAAATGAAAGGGCTTGATGACTGACAAATGTGGAATAAGAGAAAGATGGATATCAAAAGTAATGCTAAGGTAACATTCCCAGACTATAAGATTCCTACAGTAGATAAATCATAGACCCATGTCACAGGGTTTTGTTTCTGTAGGAAATAAAGGAACAAAATCAATCTTTGACACTATCTTTATCCAGATGTAAATATATAAACACTTATACCCTAGAATGGAATTATCTCTTCATCTATAACTGTATCCAAGTTAAAGCTTTCTCTCCTGTGGTCTACATGGCTTAACATTGTATCAGAGCTCTTCTCACTTGTAAATATTAAGAAAATAATCAGGTATTCCTAAAATCACTGAATCAATATAATAAAGATGTATCTCTTATTCTTTCCATCCCCATTTTTATGTTCCTACCTCGTTTCTACTAGAAGGATCACCGCAAGTCTTGGGCCAGCTAAACAATGGTATAATTTGAAGACCACAGGTGGTCTGACACCCCACTTACTCATTCTCCCATGCGCATATATAGTTTAAATGTCAACAAGGTTTGGGGTTAAGATTTTAGGGCCCCTTAACATTCCCTACCCCCCTTGAAAAAAATTCAATCCTAAAGTAGTAGTATTTTATAGCAAGCCATATGAGTCATTATACCTTTGTGTGAATGAATGAATGAGTTTATTAGCTTCTTTCCACAGAGTAGGTTTTAATAGTAGGGAAGAAGAAAAGGTCAGGAAGGCATTGGCTCCTTGAGGGGAGTAGAAAATGTGGCACCATGTAAGAAAAAAAGGGCAGAGATTAGTTATTTACGAGAGGTGAAAAGACTGAAACCAATCATCACAGTCTAAGTACAGTGAGATACAATGTGGTGATTAAGAGGACAGACTTTGAGGCCAGACTGCTAGCTAATTACTTCACTTCTCTATGGATCCGTTTTCTGATTCATAAAATGGGATAATAAAAGTACCTAACTCATAGGACTTCTGTGAAGATTAACTGAGTTAATATTTGGGAATCACTTAGAATGACATCTTGTACACAGCTAGGCCTTTTGTGTATTGGCTGTTTTTGTAATTACTTTATCATTTTGACAAGAATCTTGTTCTCCAGCACAAAGTAAGGTTAAGTTTTTATGCTTCATACTTCACCAAAACCGCCCCTGCCAGATCTTGCATCTTCTTGCTTATGTGACTTCTTTTTATCTGCATCCTTCTCACCTCAACACAAAGATTTCTTTCTTTTTCTTATTTTTGAGACAAAGTCTCACTTTATTGCCCTGGGTAGAGTGCCATGCCATCATAGATCCCAGCAACCTCAAACTGTTGGGCTCAAGTGATCCTCTTGCCTCAGCCTCCCAAGTAGCTGAGACTACAGGTATGTGCCACTGTGTCCAGCTAGTTTTTCTCTTTTTAGTAAAGACAAGGTCTCACTCTTGCTCAAGCTGGTTTGGAAATCCTGCGCTCAAGCAATCCACTCACTGTGGCCTCCCAGAGTGCTGGGATTATAGGCGTCAGCCACTTGCACCCGGCCAACACAAAGATCTTTTGCTGGGTAGTATCAACCTCTTCCTAGTAGCCTTGTCAAATTTGAACATTTCTCTGCTAATGTTTCTTCTTGCTACAGCACATAATTCCACTAACACTTTCTCTTCGAAATACTCATTTGATCCAAAATCACACTTATTTAAGAAATGTAATCCAGGGGAGGGGAGAAGGGCGGCTGGGTGGTGGGAGGGTGACTGGAAAGATCACCTATATATCTGTCTATCAAGGGTACAAGTGAACTTTTCTAGAACTAGAATATAAATGTTTTGACACAATGACTATGCAAATGACATGAAATTTATGTGAACCAGCTTGATGAAAGTATTTCAAAATGTATATGAAAACACTACACTGTACCCCATGTTTGCATTAATGTATACAGCTATCATTTAATAAAAAAAAAAAAAGGAAAAAAAAACCTGAAACAAAATGTCTACATATTTGAAATTGGTAATGTAATCATAACGGAAAATAATTATTTGAAGACATTTTGTAATATCATGATCTTGATGTACATTGTTACAACTTGCTGAGATATACTTGATATGTAAGAAGAAATGCAAATAAATCCGAAGCCTCTCAAAAAAAAAAAGAAATGTAATCCAGGGCAGCACCTATGGCTCAAGGAGTAGGGCACTGGCCCCATATGCCAGAGGTGGAGGGTTCAAACCCAGCCCCGGCCAAAAACAGCAAAAAAAAAAAAAAAAAAAAAGAAATGTAATCTAACCAATCATCTTAACCTACTCAACCAAATTCAAGAGTTTTAATACATGCCTTAGTCTCACTCACTGTTTTATCTTCCTTTTGTTCCATTCCTAAGCATTGTCTTATCTTGCTTATACTTTGAAATTATAATTACACTATGCATACTCCAGGAAGCATTACTTCCTCAATAAACCTATGATCTCAAGTAACTACTATTTCAATTGTTCTACATTGTTTCAACTATCCTTGTGTTTAGTTTAGGATATCACACTTTAAGATGCACTGAAAAACAGGAAAGCTTTAAAAAGAAAATGATCAAATAATGAAGCAGCTTAAAACTGTATCTAATACGGGATTAAAGATGAGAAGATTAGGGATAACCTGATAACTATAACAGAACATCTTAAGGGTTACTACAGGAAAGAATAGTAATATTACTATATTTGGTTCCAAAGATACAAGATTGATTATGGATAAATATAAGGAAGAGCTTTCTAATAATCAAAATTACCTGAAAGCGAAATAGATTGACTTGTGAGGTAGTCAAAGAGAAATCAGGTGGCTATTATTTAAGGTATCATGCAATCAAAATGGACTGAACAGGGCGGCACCCATACTCAGTGGGTAGGGCGCTGGCCACATGCACCAGGGCTAGTGGCTTTGAACCCAGCCCAGGCCTGTTAAAACAAAAAAAATAGCCGGCCTTGTGGTGGGTGCTTATAGTCCCAGCTACTCAGGAGGCTGAGGCAAGAGAATCACTTGAGCCCAGGACTTTGAGGTTGATGTGAGCTGCGATGCCATGGCACTCTACCGAGGGTGACAGAATGAGACTGTCTCAATTAAAAAAAAAAAAAATTGACTGAATAAAATCAATTACTTTCAACCTTTTTTCCTGTTTGTTTTTTGTTGTTGTCGTTGTGATAGACTCTCACTCTGTTGCCTGGGCTACAGTGCAGTAGCATCATCATAGCTTACTGCAACCTCAAGCTCCAGGGCTCAAGTGATTCTCCTGCCTCAGCCTCCAGAATAGCTGGGACTGCAGACACTGCCACTATGCCTAGCTAATGTTTCTGCTTTTTTGTTGTTGTTGTTGAGACAGGGTCTCCCTCTTGCTCAGGCTGGTGTTCAACTCTTGCCTCAAATGATCCTCCCTCATTGGTCTCCCAGAGTGCTAAGAGTCCAGGTATGGGCCACTATGCTGGACCCCTCCCACTTTTCATAAATAAATTCAAGTGAATAAAATTGTTTAGTAGAGAAAATAAGCACAAGAATTCAGTTAGACTCCAGAAAAAACCCAAGTTTATCCTACACAGATTTCCCACCGATATAGA